GTATCTTTTCCACGTCGACTGGCATCTCGGCTATTTTTTTACTTTGACTATCTGAATCTTTATTTGTACGAATACTCTGCATATCAATTCGAATATTAGATTTTATTGCTTAAAAGATGATTATATGATTTCTAACACACCTGAATTTCCAGCCTATCTTCGGAAAGAGGCTGTCAACAAAGGAAAATTCATCATCACCATCCCATCAAGACGAGCCAATTGAGGGAAATTTACTTTTATCTATATTTGTGGAAAAGAAGTCGATTCGGCTAAGCATGCCATGCTATATCATCCATATCGTTTGTTCTGATGCTTCTGTCCTCTCTGATCCACTTCCAATCGAATATCGTTCCGTTGGATACGATACTGATTCCAACGCGGATCGTTGCGATAGTATTGACCTGAGAAACATTATCTTTTCAGGAGTTATGTAACTTTAGGGGTAATTTCCTACTGGTCACATCATTAACCAACAGACTGATTTTGAAATGATTGTTGAACATCAAACCGTACACATTTATGATTCAAACTTGTTGGCACCAAAACCAACTCCAGATACATCTACTAATCAGCTAACAACCCTCAACAACCAGCAGACTATGAAAGTCAACATGACTTTCTTTCTCCGACTGCTTCGCCTATATTCAAAAATACCTTCTTTTGCCATCGACTCTCCTACTGATGTGGACACTCAAGTCGTACCGCTTTCGACATGCGACCTACCTCACGATCTGCTCGAAACGCTTAAACTCAAAATATCCTGTACTAATCCGTCTATCTTTATTGTACCACTCCATCTGTTCTTTTCATACGACATGATCGTTACTCTCGTTCGAATTCTCGGCTTGTTAATTTCTATGTTCTATATTCCTTAGTCTTCTCAGTCGTCCTCTATAGAAAATATATAAATCTATTTTTAGTTCCAAGAGATCACACACGTCATCCGGTATCATTATTGACAAGCTAAAAGTAGTAGAAAAAGCATGAAGATGTGTTTTGTAAAGGTAACAAGTATCTAGCGAGTAATTGTTGAACGTTTCTCCATCCTTGAAAACTTTGTTAAATCTTGTTTGATTTTTGTCTGTCTTTCTCGAGCAATTACTGTGGCTGAGTTATTTGCTCCTGTATACTTAAACACTGGTTGCCACGTGAGAAGATTCTGAATTGTGAAATTCTGTAAAACATTTGGCGCTCCAGATCTTGTGAAGCTCGTGGTCAAAGATTTGGATCATCCCTCTTCCAAACAATCCTTCTATACATGATTGCAATATGAGAAACTCATCAAAGAGCTTCACTGTGAAAATCCGTGAACTATCATCAACCTCTGATGCCATGAAGCCAGTTTCTCAAGGCTTCGAGAAACACGATAAAAGAATTCTTTGCTCATGGGTTCTTAGGAAATGCACGCCATGCGAGAGATTCTGTCAACGATCGTCCACCTCCAATTTTTTTATTTATGCAAATCTTGGGTCTCATTAAAAAAATCAGCTCCACTTAGTCCAACTTTGTCACTATTTTTGTTTAGTTGACAAGGAAAGCTGTCTCTTAACCACGAAGACAAAAGCTCAAAGACATCGCCGAAGAAATGTTTTAATTGATCTGAAGGAGTAATCGTAGACGACGCTGATTAAGTGAAATTTTCTCTTGAGTATAGATATATTAAATATCAATAACATCATCTTTAGAGTCTTGGAGGTAATTTTTCTAAAGCCAACTGTCCAATAATAGATACACAGAATCTTTATAGATCCTTGGCGGTCACTACACTAATGTTCTTCGGATGCTCTTGACATGTATTGATTCACTAAGAATGTGCTGGAGGCCTGCAGGACTCGCGCAGCAAGGAACTAGCTGCCTCGGAACCTCCACAAGTGGGCCGTCCACAAGGCTGAAGCCATCGAGGCTTCGCATTCTTCGTCGAGGGGCCAATTGGCCTTCAGGTCTGAATCAAGTATCCCGCTTCACTTGATTCAGTCGGTGGTAACTGGTTACCAGAACTCAGGGAGAGTTCCACCCGCCCTCTGTCCTAGTTCCATTGGAAGGCTCAGAGTCCTCTCGAGCCAACGACGTTGCGGCAAAGTGAAGAGCTCGTCAAGAGCAACGCGAGATCCATTCAAAGCGATTCCCAAGTGTTCTTCATCAATTGCACGATGCAGAGAGTATCATCAAAGAATTCCAATGTCCATCCTTATTTCTAATCGATAATTCAAACTACTCTAGTGCTCTTGGGACCCAGAGATTTCTGCTGAGCAGAAACCTCCTCGATCCAGACTCTCAAGTGTATCGTGCTTAGCACTTGACGAGTCCGTAGAAAGGGCTCGCTAAAATGCAGGCCCTGTCATAAACTGAGAAATGCTCGCTGCGATTACTGGGAGCTACTATATTGACTGCGTCAGGAATGGACTTGCCTATGAGAAAGAAGATATGAACCCAATGAGGATTCGTGGGAAAGCATAATTTCGTGGGAAAGTGCCAGACTGATGAAAAAATTACCAGTTTTGCTTGTGAATTCATTCCTCAGCAATTAATTATGCTCTCATCAACTATTAAATCTAGAAATCCTAATCGGGGAGACATCGACATCTTCGGACTTGAATGTTCAGAAGGTAGAAGCAGTGTTTAAACGATACAGCAGACGAGGCAGACGCAGACTCCGCATAAGGCCGGGCAGCTGAGATTGCAGCATGCACTCAAAACGTTGATCAAAGTCGGTGAAGGTGTGCTGCTGCACCGTCCATTTGAGTGAGGTACGGTTTGCATGCATGTACGAATTTCTTCTCGACGCTTGAGCTGGATAACTCTGTACGACCTTCTAAGCAGACACTTCCGTGTATAAGAGTTATTCGTCAACGATCAGGATGTCGCAGTGGAGAAGGCGAAGTCTTCGATCTGGCAGATTGATTTCTGTCAATCGGATCGATTTCACAGTTCCTTGGAACGAGTGTTCTCATTATGTCACACCGAGTGAGACTTAGCACACCAGAAAATGTTTAAGCAATGATCCAAAAGTCAACTTTGGTCTTTCCTTGCTGTCTTTCTTTTCTAGATGTGATACTGTGGTTCCATAGCACAATCTCATGTAATTGTGTTCAGATTATTCAAAGGCGAGCAAAGATGCGAATCAGGTTAAATGTGGTGCTGAAATCAACGTTTGATTTTCCACGTACCCACCACATTGAACCTGATTCGCATTTTGGGCTGGTTTCTAACACATAAAGGCATCCACAAGAACACGTTTCACCAAAAAATCATGAAAGTTTCATGTACGTAAATATGGTGCTCAGCTTTACGTTTGTGAATTTGGTCCATCAACACTTTTGGCATTTCTTCAAAAGTCAAAAACTGTTTCTCCTTCCTTCTTAACCAATTTCAAGAGATTTCATCCGTTTCATTTCAGCTGGAGAGTACTCAACACATTTCACCAGTAAATTGTGTTGACTACTCTCCAGTTCTAGATTTTTGTTATTCTGTCCTAGGCTTGTGTGAAGGCTGCTTTGCTTGGCAATAGAAAAAGTAGTGTGAAGATAGATGTAGCCACCTCAGATTTCCTAACCGGCAGTGCCCTTTGGACTCGAAAAGATTTCCACAATAATCATAAATTTTCTGCTCTTTGAACTTTTAATCAACATTGTTTAGCTCGACTTTCCTTGTTTGCTTCTCAGAAACTGCACGTGGGCATAAAGCTCACAATGCTGGGCACATCCTTGGATTTTTGTCATGTACGGAAATCAATTATGAGCCTTCTAGTGAGCATCGCAGGCTTTATTATGCAAATCATCATGATTTATCCTTAAGGATTTCTTGAAATTCGTTAATGATCAGATTCAACAATGACACTCCACGAGAATCAGGAACTCCGGCCGTCTGCTGCTTATCTGCATTCTCAGAACCAACTCAGATCACCGAACTTTCAGTTTCAGTCCGGAAATGGTGTCGGAACTTACGTATCATATCCCAGGATCTATCAGCGGTTGAAATTTATACAAAACAACCCAGTCTACTGCAATTGATATTTTACCCTTGTACTGGACTCTAGTTCATCTAAGATTGCCATTTCAAAGCATTGTAATTGATTCAAGCTTAGCAACAGGTCGTACCAAACCAATATTTGAAGACGTTTGTAGCTATCATAACAAATGTTCTCATATAGCATCAACATGGGGACTGATACTTCTACCCACGTTGTAATTTCCATCAGAAGCTTCTTCAGACAAGCTTTTGTCGACATTGTTAGGATTTAATTGTGATCGGGAGGTTTTCTCAGGTTTCAAATTTCATCTGCAGCACATGTCACAAGAAATCGAAGATAAAAGAATATTCAAAAGTCCGGGAATGTCTTGGAATGTTAACCTTCCATGCTCCTCGCGTGTGCACGAATCGACTTTAATGATCATGATGCTAAGCGCCAGCCTCATCATTATGCAGCCGTGGCCACGAATCAACTACTCGGTTCCTACTGTTACTCCCATAGCGGACATAAGTTCTGGCTTCAATAATTGAGCCAATTACCCTTACATACTGAACTATCGGATTAACCGTCAACGGAGTTGACGGTTAATCTGTCATATTCAATTCCGGCTTCTCAGAAATCCCTCCTATCAGCTGAAGAGTGGTCGATAATTTGCGTGCTCCAATGTACTTACGCTGGCCATGGGTGGAATCGATCTCATTGAGTGATATGATGCAGATCATAAATCCTTACCCGCAACCATTACTCATGTGCCATTGTCGGTCTAACTTGGACCTTGCTGACCTTCACCTGGAACTGAGCATCACTTACGTGAAGTACTACAACCGAAACTAATTAATGAAACAGAATCTGGACTGTAGAAATATCAGAATCTTCGTACGTTCAGGTTCTCTTGTGTCAGCCTGATAGTGCCTGCTGGCCAGTTGCAATGGCCGTTCAAGTTTGCTGTTCCAATGAAAAGCTTCTGTGGAAAAGACGTACTGTGATCGGGAACCCTTCTGATAGCTCAGAGCACGTTACGAATCCAGGAGTCTTGCTCGAGCTCGATCTACATGTCATCGAAAGAAGAATTACGTGAGCTATTATCACACGTCAATAAAACCCTCTTGTCATACGCCTCCATCTGGGTTAGTGCTAAGGCCACGGAGCTCAGTCCTCACAGAGCAACAAGCTTGGGAAGAATCGTTGGTGGCTTTGAGTTTCATGTCAATACTTGCCGTCAGACGATTGCGAAGGTCGCATCACGAGAGCTATTTATCGGCCTGTCTTCTGTTATGTTCATGTGCATACGTGCTCAGATCACGGGTTCGTCCTCTGGAATGTGTGTCTTGTATTACATTAAGGTGCTCTTCAATGCAGCTCTTAGCATAAATCGTTCACAGGCATCTTCACGAGGAGTGGCAGCTGACATCTCCGATAGTTCTGCGACCATGGACGATGCAGAGAAATCACGTCAGTTGCAGAACAGGTTACTGGTCGACGCTATCCATGGGATTCGCTTGGAGGCCCTAAGCTTGGCCAAAAAGTTGAAAGAGTCTCACAGCATTTCAAGATCTGAACATTTGAGACCAACGAAGGCGAGTGTCTCGGATCAGTATGGAGAGTCTTACAAGTGCTACGTCTCATGGCCACTTTGGGAAGTCGTAGATTTTGAGTGCGACTCGTGTGCGCAGAGTGCGCGAAGCATGGCTTCGAGGCCGGAAAATTCAGAAATTGCATCGACCTCGAAGAAATCACGAACGAAAGAGAAGAACGGATCCATGAACAAAGGGAAGGTAACATCAAACAACGAGTCAGCCCAACCAGCGGAGAATAGAGAACTGACGAGGAAGAAAGCTGTCTTAGCTGCAGCAGCGTTTGAGAGATGGGCTGCAGAGAAGACACCCACGGAGGTAGAAAGTCATTTGAGTACTTCAAGCGAGAAGAGGTCACCCTTGGAAGAAGTAGATTGACCTTAGAACCAACACAGGCTTGCGAAGGACAATCACCGATTTAGGGTCATTCATGATCTTTGAAATCAGTGATGTTTCTGTCAGTGTTTTTATGTGAATTGTTCAGTATCTTTAGAGACAGTCATGTTAGCGGAATTAGTCCATCCACGCAACTCCACTTGATGCAGCATGTAGGAAAATCATCTTTCAAGAGATCTTTCCAACATTTCCTTGTAAATTTGCAAATCTAATCAAATTTTATCTGTTCGCTGAAAGTGTACACCTTTTGTTTAAGTGGATGGAAACCTTCGTTCTGTCACTGCTCATAGGTTATCTCCTACCATGGACTTCTGTCTTTGAACTTGTGATTCTTAGGTTTGGTTCATGTCCAAAGTACTCTAGAAATGCCATGATATTAACCTTGAGTTTGGTTCTCCATAGATTATATCACAAGGCTACTTCAAACTTCGTGATGTGAATTTTCTCTTATTTTTCAGTTGAGCATTAGAAACATCCCAACTATTAGTTGTGTTAAAGCATGTAGCCTATATTCTGATTCTCAAACAGGATATGTGGTATATCTATCTCTTAACAAGGTACATACATGGTGGAAACTATCTAAATAAAAATATCTTAGCTAGGGCTCATTCGAGATAAGAGTAGATTTCTAAGATTAGTTTCTCCTTTCACCCAAAATTTGATGAGACATGTGTCACCAGATCATCCCAATCGGGTATGCTGCTGAGTCTCAGTTCTTCTCACTACTGATCTTTTCCGTTGTGATCAGATAACGACGGTGAATAAATTCTTTCCTGCGCGAGCTGACTATTCATAATGAACAACTCACAAAGGTTCACTGTGAGTCGGTATGAAGGTAAGTGATAGAGTACCCTGACACGTTTAACAGTACATTGAAAAGACAAGGTGCATTTGGATCCCGAGAGCACTGGAAGTTTCTTAGCTCCCTGTCCTCCATAAACGTAGATCCTTGGTCAATCCTATATAATATTCACAATAATCATCAAGTCTCGATGAATGCGTGCACCGATCAATTTCTGAATACCACATCCTATCTAGATGAAAAATTGAAGACAGATAGAGCATAATGAAGACAATTACATCCTTCATCTTGTACTAAAATTGACTTCTGTGTATTAATGTTTCAAGTATGAACCTACTGCTGATCGATATGCACGCCCAACACAAACTCCACATATCAACACTGAACTTAAACCCGAAGTACACGCAATCACAAGGACAACATCTTGATCCAAAACGCTGCGTGATGTGCGGTAATACTCGAAGAAATTGATTGGTGCTTCAGCCAGCTTGCACATAGACAATGAAGATTGGATTGCACGATTGTACTGCTTTAACGGGGAATTTGTAAGCAATTTTCTGAAACTTGCTTTCTTCGAGTTCGAGAGAAACATTTTCTCATTTTGATGAATTGCTCCGAGAACTTTTATGATTGAAGAACCTAAACTCACCGGATGCTCATATTTTAATGTTTCAGATTTGAATGCCATAAGTTTCATGCCAAACTCCCTAAGCATATGATTATGTGCTGTTTTCTGAATTAGATCAACGATATATGGAATGGATTCGTATCATCAACCAACAATGTTTCAAAATCATCACACTGACATTGTCTAGATTCTGTTGTAATCAAGTCCGCTCGTTGTGTAATCCGTGTTCCAGTCACTATGCAACTAGTAGATACAATCAAAAAGCTGTAAGATTGGATATTTTACGACTAAAAGAATGAACATTGTGTAACAAATGTAAAATAAGCAGCTTAAGTTCCGGCAAGGTTGTAATATTTACTTACCATAGAAGTAAGGGATTTGCAAAATTCTATATTTGAATGTTTAAATGTTTGTTTGAAGGGTTTTTTCGCTGTTGTAAATTTTAAAATATTCTTATTGCCACATCTTGTATCACAGGTTTTTGTTATTAAACTTATATCAATTATTTTATTTAAAAAAATCTTGAAATTAGAATAACAATAGTAATTTATTTTACTCCACTTTTGAAAAGTAACATATAGAATTTTTTTCATCATTTCAATTATATTATGTTTGTTTCATAAATTTATTGTTTGTTTCCATCAATAAAATATGTTGCCAAAATCTAGTACAACTATCCAATATACACAATAATGTTGAAATAAATTTTGGTTAAGGATGAAAGTCAAGTCTTAGCTAATATTAGCTATGAGGGTAATTGATGCTAGGGTATTTATACCAATGTTTGTGTATTACTAACACAATCTCTCACTAAACTTTAACGTGTGATTCTCCGATGGAAGTAGCCCTCCTTTTGAGGATGAATCATGTTACATGTGTCTAGTAGGTGACTTGGCTTGGCTTGAATGTTTCATTGAGTTTTTCAGATTTTACCTCTCACAATTGATATAAGAGCTAGTCTCGACTCGGAGTGTGTGACATGTCTTGTCGCCTGAGTCTACAGTGAAATTCACTTACGGTTTTTGGAGACAAGATTTACATACGGTTTTCTGAGAAGAGATTTCTTAAGGTTTTTTATGATAAAATTCTGTCACTGGATTTTTGAGTTGAAAGTGACAATTTTCTAATGCGTGATGGTTCTATGACAAGTGACTTTTTTTGGGTGGAGCTTGTGAAAGAGATGTGATTTTGTTTAATCTGATTTAGGTTTGGAACTTGTAAAAAAGTTGTGATTTTTTGACAATGGTTCAGGTTTATATAATTTGAAGTTTGAATTATGACACACTTGTGATTCGCAACAAGAGGAAAATCCTTCCACTGCTGGTTCACTTGCTCTTTCTAATCTGGGCCTTCCATCCATTGTTCAAGCAAGGACGGTGTGTCTTTGTGTATATCTAAGCTAGTAATCTTGAGCCTTTTCAAGAACGCAAGATTCTCTTCTCATTAGTATTTTCCAGTTTTTCAGTTTTGAGAATTATTGGTCATGAAGGCTCAATCGATTTCGATTGAGCTCGAGATATGTGTGTTGTTTGCTGTGATTTTGGGGGTGCTTGGGATTGTAAATCACAAACTTTTAACAGAATGGGCAAGAAAATTACGAGTCTGATAGATGATTTGCATACTTTGAATTTTCTATGATTTATAGTATTTCACGGAGAGTGAGTTTGTTTTGCTTCAAATCTGCAACCCTAGTCTCTCACATCAAAGTGTTCTTGCTGTCAATATTGAAGTGTTCTTGCTTGATGGATAGACAAGAGTCAAAATGGACATATGAATATTAGAATAGAACTATTGGAATATTGGAGACTCTAGGGATGATCTAGTGAGAGTGCGGACAAGTGGTGCAATGTGCTTTTGACTCAGGGCTGGATATTGTAGATTTTTGTAGTCCTCGAGATAATTGGAAGCTACATGCCGACCGGCCTCTCATTATATTTTCATACTTTTTTGTGGTGACCATGTTTCGGTATGTGATTGTGATTCAGGCCCAATCCACAGCCCGTTACAAGCTCCATGTATGTCTATATTTTGGATGGTCTTTCTATTGAACTTTTGAACTGGGGAGGAGATATTATTGGATCAAGACTCATCAAAGCGTTAGAGAATGCAGCTATGTATGGTTTTCCTTCAGCTTTGTCATTACAGAAGATTGTGCCTATTCACAAGTCAGGAAGGAAGGACTTGGTGACAAACTATCGCACTATCATGGTGGGTAGTGTTTTGCCAAGTTGTTTGGCAAATTGGTGGAGTCAAAGTTGAGCACATGGACTGAATTTCATCAAAACAGAGCGTGGTTTCAAGCAGGCTTACGCCCCACATACAACACCATTGACCATATCTTGGCTTTGCGTGTTTTATGGGAGAAGTCAAAGGGCAACGGCAAAGCTTTGTTTTGCGCCTTCATTGATTTTAAGAAAGCTTTTGACACCGTACCTCGTGAGCTATTATGGAAAAGGCTGCAAGTCATTGGAGTACCATCAGATCTTCTAGCAGCTGTGACCACGCTTTACCAATCTGTTCGAGCCAAGATCAACACTTCTCAAACTTAAGAGGTTTTGAGTACCATTGGAGTGATTCAAGGTTGTACTCTCTCTCCTATTCTATTTGGAGTTTTTATAGATGATATCGAAGAGTGGTTGGAGGCATGTGATAGTGAAGGTGTCAAGCTTTGAAACTTTGTTATCAAAGCTCTCTTGTATGCAGATGATATCATATTACTAGCACGTGATGCAATTAGTTTACAGAAACATCTGTACACTTTGGCTAGCTTTTGTACCCAGAATCAGATGGAGGTAAATAGAGAGAAGTCCAAAGTCATGATAGTCGGCACTAGATCCAAGTTTTTCTTCTATTACCAGGATCTGCAATTAGAAGAGGTGAAGAGTTATAAATATCTAGGCATTGATTTTTCTAATGATTATAGTTGGGCACTTTGTGTGCAAAAGAGAGTAGAAGGTGGTTACAAAGCTCTATATTCATTGCTAAATCGGTGTAGAAGGGCTCATCTTCTGTCTTGGAGTCTTAGGAAATTTTTATTCAGAAGCTTAATGTTGCCTGTAGTATTGTATGGAACCCAAGTGTGGGATCCTGGTTGTAAGACGACAGGTTGGGAGCTTGTGGAGAGGGTGCATAAGATATTTCTACAAGAAGAATTGGGTGTGAGAAACCAAATCTCATATACTATTCTTCTTGCGGAAACAGGTTGTTTACCTCTAGAGGCTGAAGCTCTATACTTGACCATCACTTACATCACAAGGGTGAGATCTCTTGATGCTTCTCGCCTTCCTCCTCAGACTTTGAGTGCCACACGTGCCAAAGGATGGTTAGCGGATGTGATAACTTGGTCTTTGAGGTGGAATGTGACGGAACGCGATTGGGACCTACAACCTATAGCACTACGTGAACGTCTAAAGGAGGAGTTTCTGAACATTATTTGGAGCAAGCGTGGCACCAAGATGCAGTTTTATCAACTTCATGTGAATCCTATTCTTGTTTATTGTGAACAGTATTACCTATTTGCAGGAATCTCTACGTCCTTACGTCATATTATTGCTAGGCATAGAACTGGATCTCATATGCTTGGAATTGAGGAAGGACGTTGGCTTAATATTGATAGGAGTGAACGTATTTGTAGGCTATGTGATAGAAGAGAAGTTGAGGATGAAGAGCATGTATTTCTTACTTGTACTAGATATACAGAGATTAGAATGACTCATAATATTGATGTAGAGAATTTTTATTCTTTGTTACAGTTAGTTCCTTTTGATTTAGGTTGTTATATTAGGGACATTATTAGTTATCGC